GCTCCATCCAGTGCTAACTGCAGATCTAGACCAGTATTCTTCATTAAAACGTAGAACAATAAATCTTGTCCTACTTCTATTATTACTCTAAACTCTGTGCATGTAGAAATGTTATGAGATCTGTGAACAAAGCATTATTTAACGGTAATGATGCGAGCCATAAATGGTAAACTATAAGATTTGAGAAGCCAGATAAAGAAAGCAAATTATGGTACAAAATTTTGTCTTATTTTTATTAATTATATGCTGTACTTCTGAATAATTTGTTTAAAATTTTTGAGAAATTTGAAAAAGATAATACTTAAAGCACTCTTTAAAGTTAAATTCTCTTTGTAATTTTAAAAAAAAATTCAATGAATTAAGCGATAAAACAGTTTATAGTTGAAATATTTTCAGATAAAAAATAAATTTCTTGACACATTAAAGTTTGAAGAGAAACAACTAGAATGTTGCAAAAGGTTTGTACATATCAGTTATACTTTCAGTAATATAACACTTTTGCTGCACCAGAGTTTCTTCCTCATATTATAAAGATAATTAATAATTACGTAAATCTTTCTCGAACAGATTCAGTGATAGAAAACTAAATGACAACTATTCTTTCCTTGAAACTATCAAAAGGAAGAAAATTTTCAGCAAAATTTGAGAAGAAAAATACCCAGAATCTTATCAACGCTCGATTAGTTTTCTTATAAGTTTTAGAGAAGAACAAAGAGCAACAGAAGAAAAAGTTACCAGGATCGATTTTAGCAAACTGCTCATCAAGATCATCGCTAGCATTTTTAGCATCATGTACACTAACAGCAAATAAGATGCATCCAACAAGAATGCAAATGCATGAAATTAGAAGAATTAAAGTGGTAAAGCAAAAACCCACATTGCACTTTGATTGCTGAAAAGAAAAACTTTAAAACAGCACTTAACCATTGGTTTGTCACTAAGACTACTGTTGACTTTCGGCAACATCAATATGAGTCACAGTTTGCAAAAATACAACAGAAAATTTTGTTTTACATTAATTTTTTTTTTGTTTACCTTAAGTTTCTTTTTTATGAACAAAATTTTTTTCTTTTTGCATTAAACTTTGAGATAATGAAACTGACTTGACGTTTTTTTATGTTGCGCTTTGCACAAAATTGAGCACAGCAAAATACCAGCCCAATAAGTGGTAAAGCGGCAACAAAAACAACACCGATGATCAAAAAAACCATAGAGCCAGCCTGAAATTTGGTTAAAGGATAGATAGCAAAAATTTCTTTTTTTGACTGCAGATCACAGTTATTGTTTTTAAATTTAGGAATCATCGATAAAATAATAAAACAAAAATTACTATTAAAAAATGCAGTGAAAAATTTGTCAAAAGTATACCTGAGTTCTAAAGGATTTCCAAGTTTTTTTGGTAAAAAATTTGTTCAATCCATCGTCGTATACTGTTGCTAATTGCTAAACAAACAAAAAAAATTTTCTGTATTTAAAGTCACTCGTTTTGGTAATAATCAGATTATTACAAAATTCAAACTGTATAAGTAATATTTGAGTAAAATATTTGAAATCTAATTTTTCAACAAATAGCTCATCTTATAAAGCTTACAAGTTGAATTGATTAATGAGAGAGTGATCTGATTATGTCTGTTATTTAATAAAAGCAAAAAAAAGTTAGCGGTTAACAATTTGTAAAAAAAAAAAACTTTTTTTTTTATTATAATGGTGCTAAAAATACGATGCTTGAGTACCTGTTCTAACTTTTTGTTCATTTAAATTATGCTCCAAACTGTACAAATGTACAAATAAAAAAGCAATAAATTTACCAAAAAAGCTCTTCAAAAATACTGCTACTGACAGTACTCGAAGTTTTCTCACTAACTTAGAGAAGAAGAGGTTAAAAAAGCATCTTAACTCTTAATCAACAAGCTATTTACCTTTAGATTCTCATCGTCCAAGTCGCTATGAATTTTGCGAGACAACTTTTGGGCAATTCTGTAAAACAGATCTGTAGACCCATAATCTGCATCCACTTCATTGATGATGATTCGTAATGGATAAACACAGTCTAAAATTTCCTGATTTAATAGATCAAAATTTGCAGTTATTAAGTAAAGTCAATTGTTCTTACAGAGCTCAAACATCTACAACAAAAAAAAAAAAAGACTGCTAAAAGTCTTGGCTTTTAAAATCAAGGATAACAGCATATTTTTGTGTTTGCGATATCTGAAAGTATTCATCTGTTAACAATAACAGAATTTGAGTACTTTTTTTTTTTCTTACTGATTACAACTCTTAAGGATAGATATTTTTCGGAAAAAACAAATGAAATTTATTCAAAAAAAAACTTAAAAAAGCGAACAAACTAAGCAAAAAAAGTGCTTTTTTGGAAAAAGTGATACAATACAGTAAGTGATATCTGTTTTTTAGTTTGAAGAAGCAAATTGAAGATGACTTCTGCATAAACTTTATAAAAATTAAGGTTTTTACTGTTCTTTTGCCGCTATTACACAAATTAATTTTTAAGAAAAAAAACTGAAAAACGATGTGCAAAAAATATTTGTTAAAAACTTAGATAAAATAATTTTCAATTTTTGTTGTCGTTAGTATTAAATATTTGG